TAAGCTTCTTCCTTCATTTTTACTTTTTTCTCCTAAAATAAAATTTCGAGAAATAATCACACTTACATAGAAAGCACACATCGCGAATTTTAAAAATTGGACTGATGTAATTGGTCCAAATGCTCAACAATTTGATATAACAGTTTTTAAATATTCCTTACTTGATTTTCCTCACATGTTATTAATAATACGATATTCTTAATGATGCTTTTCTAATTATTTCAAAGATAATCGGAAATCTATAAATTGTTAGCAAGGATACATATTGTACGTTATCAAATTAATGAAATTTTCTAATAAAGTTTTAACAAAGTAGTAGACGTTTATAACGAATATCTCTGGCATTAATATTAAGTATAAATATTTCTTTAAATATAAATAACATTATAATGCAAGTACTTCAGTTCCAGCAACGAAATAGACTAGGAATTTAAGAGCTCGTAATTAAAACCTGATTTAAATTCAAATATTCCACAAGCAATATTGAATTATTAATTTGATTCATTTAAAATGGCAATTTAAGTTGCCATGTAGCAATTAATTGCTTTTTTAATACTTTGAGAAGGCCAACGGAAAGATATAATCGTCGTTATAATAAAAAAATAAAAATAAAAAAAAAAAAGTCGAGAGGATTTCCATCGTCCCTTTTTTTATGGAAATATTCTATTTGAACAAAATTGCACAATCTTTCCACTTATCCAACAATTTTTTTCTTTCCACATTATACTAAATAAATAAACAGCCATTTGAGTTAGCCATTGAAAAAAAAGGGAAGTTTATTCAATTGAAGTCAAATATCAATTTCCTATAGTACGATCAAACTTGAAGAAGAATTTTGAAATTTTTTTCATAATTAAGTACATTAATTTTAAAGGTTAAAACTTGACTTTACTTACTTCTTCGACATTCTTCAAGAACTCTTATTTTCTCTCTTGGATCCCTTCGAATATCAGTTAATAAAATTTATTTACTCTTGAGTTTTCTTTCGATTAGCAGTAATGAAATATTTGTTTTTGCGTTATTCGTCGTCCTTACGTTATATTTTGTTATGTTTGTCTTTTCAAACTAAGGTAACAGAATTTTCATTTTTAGTAACAAATGATTATTAAATCATTTTCTAGGAAACGTACGAGATACCTTAAATTACATGGAACCATTTAATTTCGTCGATCAATGGCTGCAGGCATCGTTTCGTTCTAGGGACAGTAAAATCTCTCGTCCGTACTTCGTAACTTAGAACGAAAGAGTGATGTAGTGATAGTACTGGTAGTGGCTATTAGAAGAGAATGAGCATTCTCGTAAAACTTCGAGTGTTCGTTCCTTTTAGTATTGACGTACTTATATAACTTTATTTCTTTCTTCTTCTACTACGATAGAGGAATTGATCATTCCTCATGACGGAAGTTAACGTAGATATATATTATCGCAAGAAGAAATTTATTATTGATATTTGACTGCTCTTATCTCTTCGGTAAAAGTTTCTAGTTTCATCTCGTATAAACTGGTAATTACGATTGTTTCAATAGTTTTGTTCTATGTTGAATATAAATCGAATTTGGGAAATGAAAATTAATGGCTTTCATTATCTAATTATAATTACTTTGTTATGGTATGCGATAACAAACAGTATTATTTGTCATGAAACCTAATTACTATAATCATATATGGATGTAATACAATAATACATTTAACCATTGTATTACAATATAATAATACATTATTAATTTCATCTTATTTGTACTACACTCTCTGTTTCTCCATTTGTTCTCCCCAGTTATCCATTCGTTCCAGCTGTTCAACGATATTAACGTATACGTATTTTTACCCATTATCGATAATAATTCTGAAAAAGAGAGAGAGAGAGAGAGAGAGAAAAAACGAAATTCAAATCGAACGATTCTCATATCCATTTCTTTCTGTTGGAAAAAAAAAGTTCTTTGTAAAAGTCAAATACCAGGAATTCAATGTTAGGAATACGTTTAAGGAAGAATATCAGAATTTACTTAGCCATATGGTACAACATAGATTTCTATCGATTGTTATGAAAATGGGATACCAAATTGCTAGTTATTTCTTCTTTAAATTACACGTAAGGAATATCTACTTATACGATTTTATATTGTTCGTAACGATTATGATATTGCGAATCAAGTGATACGTGAGACTATAATATTGATCTAAATTTTATACCATTATATACTCGATACTTATAAGAATTCTATAAAAAAAAATTCTTTGTTGCATATTCACGTTGATATTTGATAATATCTACAGATATTTACGTTTAAAATTGAAATTGAAAATAAAATATAAATGAAAGTCAATGTGGAACATCTTTCATTCCGGTGAATTAATTAAAAATGTCAATCTTTCGTTGGCTTATCTCTTCAAGTTCGACGTTTCTAATTTCTTTCTTTTTGTGTGTGTGTATACTCTTGATAGACATAGTTCAAATAGAAATGATCATTCTTATTTTTTTCGGTTATTGTACTCGACCAAAGTCGGTGAAGAAAAACCGGGTCATCTTTAAATAGTACTCCAATATTGAAATGTCAGCGTTGCGTAATTTCCAAAGTACCTGTTAAACTCTAAATATTTACACGCCTCAAAGGTCTTCCCGTCGAAGTTTTCCTCTTCTTACCTTCGCATAGACTTATCTTCATGTTCTGGAACTCGAAGATGGGGAGACCGATCTGACGTTCAAACTCAAGCGCGTATTAAACTTTCATTTCTTAGAATGCTTCCTTCCACGTGCTATTTTACTCCGAGAGAAAGAATATTCCCAAGTCTCGTCATTTTCAGAAAAGGATACGATTTCACTGAATCACGTGGTTCGGTTATATAGGTAGCTATATTACATACCTATATCTACTGAGTGCACTTTCTTCCTAAGTGGCAGAAAATGTTTCGCGACCGTACCGGAACTTTTAGGGAAAAGAAAAATGTTTCCTACAGAAATTGACGATTTTATTTTTCTCGATTTCGTCGGTACATTTAACTGTGAATAATATCATCGTGCTTTCATAACTCATACAAAATATTCACTCTAGCTTAACGTCTTCATTGGAATTTATTTATTTCATAAATTATCAACGAATATTTCTAAAAAAAATTGCTAAGAGAGTTGTTTAGATACAACAAGATTTTCATTCGTATTTAAACAATATATCGATTCTGTTTATAAATTAAATTTTTACTATAAATTATTTTTAAAATAAAATTCGAAACGATTAAGACTTTTATCTCTGATAAACTCAACACGCGACTTTGGGATTTATTTTTCAAGAAAGAAATTAAGTATATCGAGTACACTCGTCAAAAAGCAAATGAAATTCTTTTTAACTTATCATGACATACCTTTCATTTACTGTATTACTCGGTATGCATCGGTGTAATTGTTTTTCTGTTAAAAGAAGCTAAAAGAATGCTTTAGCAAAAGTGAAAGGATAAACGAGGCAGCGTAAAAGTCGAGACTACGGGTAATGTGATATAAAAGCGCGGCCAAGAGCTTTTAATATTGAATAAGATTATTTTCTCGTATTATATTTTTATTTGGTTACTTTGCTTCTTTTGTTTTACCTTAGAAAATAAATTTATGCGGTTACATTTAAATCCAAATTTTAATATTCTTTTTAAAATTAAATTAAATATTTGAACAGTTTTGTTTTTCTTTTTCAAAATAACATTAAACTTGTTGTATGTTGTAATGTAACCGTGAAGTTACGTTACACGTAACGTAGTTAGTGTAATTCACTAACGTGAGTACTACGTACTCTACGTAACGTAGAGTTAATAATTAAAAATGAATATTTTCATTCACGTGTTCAAACTCGACAGTTATCAATATTAAATTAGATAAATTATAATTCCAAGGAAATACATTTTTTATTTTTATATGGCGATGTATCATTTTCCCTTTGTACTTACTTCGAATACTTGATAGGCTTGGTAGATAATTCAAAACTTGGATAAAATGAGTATGTTAGGTGTACCATAGAGAAAACGTGAAGGCCGCCCTCAGTTGTCTCTCGTATATCGAAGATACGTCAAAGTGTAAGGTTGCTTTGAACCTATAATATCTGGTGTGTCGACTAAACGTGCATCATCGATATCCTTTAAATAATGTTATAGAATAATTAATCTTTGGAAAGGTGCCGTCAACAATTCTATTCAAAGATAAAAGATTGTTTGAGTTTATCATAAAGATTAAGTATATAATAAGTTAGAATCCTGGTATTATCTCGGTCGAAGTATTTCTAAATGTTTTTATTTTCTTCCGTATTTTCTTCTTTATTACTTTTATTTATTTATTTATTCTTTCCCGAGGCAAAAAGTAAACTTTCAACTGTCTGCAATGTTAAAAAGAGTTTAAACTCAATTGCATTTTCGTTGGAATAAACCAAGAAGGAAATATTCTCTTCTCTCTTAATTCATTAAACCATCGGACCTCAAGATTTGGTATAGTTCAAAGTAAATCCAACCAAGCTAAAATGCAAGATGGGCAACGTTTCAACGAAATTACGTCAAACTCATGACAGCCTTCCAGACTGATTCAAACGGAATTCACTGGTACCAAATAAGTAAAGGATTCAATTGTTTAAAATGAGATAGGAAGAAACGAATGAAGAAGGATAAAACGAGAGAGAGGTGATTAGAAGAGGTATTAGAGGTAAGAAATCGAAGTAGTAAGTAAGAGAAAAGGAATAAAACGGGTAAAAAGAATGAAATAAAAGGGAAAAAGAAAAGTAAAGAAAGAAAGAAAGAAATAAATAAATAGGAAAGAGTAAAAGAGGATATATCGAGTCTTGTCGATTCCAGGTCATGTCATCTTCTTTCTCATCGTCTTTGTCAGTGGTAGCATTGGTCTACGAATCGAAGAAGAGCACCGGCCGTTGGTGGTTTTGAGGGTGTGTTGGATAGAGTATGTGGAAAGAGGGTTAAAGAGAGAAACGAAGAGAGAGAAAGAGAGGGGGTGGTGAGAAGGAAAGAAGAGGGAGCAATGTTACAGAGGCATGTACACCAGGTGGCGCGCGTACCAGCAAGAAAATCGATACTTATCGTCTCGGAACGTACAGTCGAGCGTCTTCCAGTACGCGACTCGTGTGCACGAGGTAAACACGGCACCCTATGCCAATTAGAATGGAATGATACGTAAAGAGTGAGAGATTATTTCGTCGTTTCCAGTCAGCTAGATCGCAGAATCAACCTAAGACATGGTACGTTCTCGGAACAAAGATCGATTTGTCAACTCTTCCCGATCACCGTTCCGATCTTCTTTCGATATCTCGAACACTCGTTTGACGCGTCGTGAATAGAGGTGGTGGTAGGAAAAAGGGGGGTGGGAAAGGGGTAAGAGGTCGAGCAGCGAGGTAGAAGGAGAGGGAAAGGGTAGAGGGAGATTGAGAGAAGGAAAATTATTTTTAACGAATTTTAAATGAAAGAAAGAAAGAGATAAATAAAAAGAGGATATAGCTTAGGACGACTTTAACATTGACTCGAATCACTCATGAAAACTGTGTCGCATGTGACAGCAACTCAGATTTAGCTTTGTTCATTTAATTACATCCCTTGACTCGAGCGTTTGAAACGATCATCATCCCCCAGTGATTTTCATATTTTCCCTCCGTTTTTAATCGACTTTTCTTTTTTGTTCTTCTTTTTAACTTTGTTTCCTTATCTCTTGTATGCTTTTTGTCATATGTGCAGTATGGTTTCGTGAATTACGCTCTCGAGCTCCTCGTTGTGAAGAACTTTGGCAGCGAGACATGGGATGAAATAAAGTAGGTAAAAAATAAAAAAGAAAATAACCAGAAGAGCTAGCTAACTGAGATATCGTTGCTTTCGGCATCAAATGAAAATTTATTCTGCATGAGATGATTTTAGTATTTATCTTTATCGCTTGTTTACATGTATCACGTTTATCCTCTCTTCACCTTTTTAGACACGTAGCTAGCTCGTTCGATTCTCGTTTTTCTTCGTTTTCACAGCACGTCTTGGATAGATCGAGTGTGTATTCCTTCTTGTCCCGACCACGTGCTTTTCAACTATCAATGTCGTTTATCGATAAGATCGATGCACCTCGTTTTCTTTCGTAATTCCGTAAAAGCCATGAAAACGATTTTTCTTTCAGTTTACCTTTTTTTACCTTTTCTCAAACGGATCTGTTGATTTTTTTCTGTCTTTACTTTCACTTAACGGACAATGTAAATAGAACTTGTAGAAATCATTATTTGCTAAGCGAACTCAGTGCTCAAATTGATTATCTGGAAGCTATTTAGATTTAAAGTAAAATAAAGGAAACTTTAAGAAGAAATTACTTTTATAAATGAAGTTTCTATTCTAATTGTAATTATTTATTTTTATTAGATCTACTTCTTTTTATTGAAATAGTTTCAATAAAATATTCGATTCATTTGACGTTTATAAAATGTGAACGTTATATAGTATCGTCGCATTATTAATATAAAAACGAACAAAATATTGACATGTGTACAATTTTTACGTTATACAGAATCATCGGAATATTTATATAAAAACAAATAAAATTATGGATCTTTTTTTTTGCTTTTTATTGTTTTAATTTTATTGGAGAAAAAGAAAAGATGGACGTAGGTCATTCGGGTAAGTAAATGAAGCTATAAATTAACTCTTTTGTATCGTATAAATATTCTTGTCACTTGCATATACATTCAACACTTTTCAAGCTTGCTCAGTAAACATACGTGGTATGTGTTTTATTTCTTAATGATTTTTAAACTGAATTTAATTTTTATGCAAGACAGAACTAGCAAAACCCACTAAATTGTTGTTTGTTTGTCTATTTAATATCAAAATTGCGAATAAAAGTTTTTATCATACAATATTAGGTTATTTAATATAAAGAAACTGTCTAGGTTGTTTATTACATTTAATTTTTAAAGTATCAAATATCATAATAAAATAAATAAACAATATTAACTTGATATGATATCTTTTTGAACACAATGATATCAACTTGAAAAGAATAATTTAAGCTTTTCACGGTAGTCTGTATTGTTTCGAGTACTGATTGTACTCAATATTATGATCCTTTGTATTTGTCAAGCTTCAATACTTGAATATAAATTACACTTGTGTCTTTTTTTACAATCATACTATTACTTTTTTAAATTGTGATATAATTTTCTTAAAGTATGTTTCTGTTGTTAATAAAACTGTTGAATTTTTTTTTAAATTTTATTGAAATTGAAAAATTTTTTGCAAAAGATAAAACATCATTTAATAAGGTTTAATTTTTTATCTTTCATAAAGTTTAATAAAAGAGCAGATTGTTTGTAATATTACCTTTTAAGTTAATACGTATAAAATGCAATTTATTTTTCCTAGCATAAAGGGTTCTTAAGAAAGAGTAAATGCTGTCATGAAAGTTCGAATTACAAGCAAATGAACGAAAGATTGCATTACACGAAACCTTTCAACTCTTAGCACATTGCCTAAAAGCTCGTTCGTTTGCCTCGTTTTTCTTCAAACGAAAGACGATTCCATTATTTTCGAAATCTCGCTTAGATACTTTTACTTTTTTTTTACGTCTCAACAGAAAATCCCATCGTTTACTCCATCTGGTTATCCACCTACGACTGTCGAGTCTGTACGAGGGATTACAGGGTATTTTATTTTAAACGCTTTAGCTGAACTATTCAATTTCTACAAAGGGTTGATTAAAAACAGTAAAATAAAGAGAGAAAAAAAGAAATTTAACGAGTAAAAGTAATTGTAAATTTTACGAGAAAATATCTTTTTATTATAGATCACTTTCTAATTTCATTTATTACGACTATTTGAAGCGCTACTAATTATTTTAATGAAGTTATTTGATTGAATCTTTAATCATACCTGCTGTATAATCTTGTAATTATAGAATACTTCAAAATATCCAAGTTATCTTCGAGAAGGTTAAAATGCGAATGCAGTTTTTTTTTTTTTTTTGTTAAATTTATCGAAAATAGAATATCATTTTAAGATCGCTTCAAGTAAAATATTGTTTTTCTATCTTCATTAAAACATCATTAATTTTACTTCCATAATTATGAGAATATCTATGATGAATCTCGTAACAAAACAATCTTATTAAAACACGATCAAAATATGTATTATATATTTTCTAAGTAATAGAAATAATATTTAATTCATAACAATTATTAGAATCAAATTAGCATACATATGTTTCAATAGCTTTAGGACGTGTTGGAATAGTTTGTTATAATAATAATAATAATGATAAACGAGCAAATTCATCTCTGGTATATTTTCTATGTTGAGAATTAATTAATGATTTAATTGAAACTAGACAACTGAAAGATTAAATAGTAATATCTAATAAGTAATTTTGAAGCTTGATATAAATATAGTTTATTATCATTATATCGATTGATATTTTCAAGATGTGTTCTATTTTCGAAGAAATTTTAATAAGAATTGATTTAATTTTAATTAGAAGGAATTGTTACGTATAGGGCGACAACAATTTTCACGTAGTCTGTATTTCGCCATTGTACTGAAAATAGAAGTTACCCTGAAACTGAAATGCTACGAAGGCACTTAGAGGCTCATATAAGAGGGTCACTTTACTCAGCCTAAATGAGGTTTCACGGTTGCTCTCACGGCAATGGCGTCGTGTTTGCAAATTGCACGTCTTTATTTCGAACTTCTTCCTTACTTCGAATATCATAATTTGATTATGTTTCACTTAAACATTGTTCTTTATAAAATTTATGATTAAATTTCAAAGTTCATATTTTCTTATATAATTTTAATTTGTTTTAATTGATATAAAAGTAAGGAATTCCAATTAATATTATGTAAAATTTATAAAATTATGTAAAGCTTATGGAAAGTAATTTTTAAAATTAAATTATATCAAAGGAACAAAAATATTAAACAAATAAATAGGAAAAGTATGTATTTAAATAAGATGATTTTGATTATTAAAATATTTAGCTTCGTTACAAAATATACTATGAGCAATTAAAAAGAAGATAAAACCAACATAAATGTTGGTACATATTTATCGAAGTAAAAAGAGTAAAGTTTTATTAAAGAAACCTAATATTCCTAGGGCTCTGTATCATGCTTTCTTCATTATTTACCAGAGGGTCCATGAATAGTTGTTATTGCACCTTGTAATTTGTATACCTTTCATAGTTAATTTAAACGCGAATATAATTGTTAAATACTATCTTGTTTGCACGTTTTACAAGCTATCTCTTATATTTTATTGCTTCTATATGTCATTGTTAATCTTCCTTTACATTTAATTGCTCTCATAGGTATGCTTATATGAGCAGATTAAATTCCCACATTTTTATTGCTCCAGGAAAGATGCTGCCATTAATATGGATGGACAATTTCTAGTACGACAAATTTATGACGATGAAATTACCTATAATCTTATAGGAGCGGCTGTCAATCGATTGAGTATGTATATTATTATTTTTTTTTTTTTTAACACGATCAATATTTATATAACCGTGTTTAATAGATGTATTCATATTTTTCAATATAATTCGCGGTTTTATTTTAATTCAAGTATTTTATATAGAAATATCTGTATGATATTGTTCAATTATTCAAATTTATTATTCAAACAAAATAAATGTGGAAAATGTGAGAACAGAATTATATTATATTATTCATACGCAATGATATGTAATATTTGATGTATTATGGACAATTTACCATCTCATAATAACCACCTGGGAAAGTCAAACAAATGTAATATAATAATTAACCATATTAACCACATAATGATGTCACCGTGTAAATAATTAAACCAAATACTTATATAATAATGAAACAATTCATGAAATATAAGTGTGTACGAAAGTTTAACTGTAATAATCTGTAGCAACTGTAAACAAGTTCTATAGTCACTAAGTAAGTTTATTTCATTTCCCAGACATTCCTGCAAATGATATATTAGAACTTTTCGGTCGAATGTTCTTCGACTTCTGTCAGGATTCTGGATATGACAAAATCCTTCAAGTTCTTGGAGCAACACCCAGAGACTTCTTGCAGGTAAAGCAAAATTTTTAAATTAATAATAATTTGTAATCAAATTTACTTGATTTTGATATTATAAATTTTGTGTATTTTCAAAGTGTGTAAATATTTTTTCAAAATTAATTCCATTAACATGATTCTTGTATTTTTGATGTATTCGTGATAACAATGATATGTCATAATTCATCTTGATACTTCTCATTTAATCGGTTCTTCGTTAAGACAAGTCATCCATCGTTCTTGCAAACGTATTAGAGACACATCGGTCAAGGGGGATGATTTAGAAAAAGATTCTATTTAGATAAACGAGTCGAGTCAGGATAAGCAATTTTTTTCAGACAAAACAAACGTTTTAGAGTAAGAAGGGGAATGAAAAAGAGATACCATAAGATAAGAAAACAGGTGAAACCCATTAAGAAGCTTCTTCTCCCTCGGATTTTTTATTTCCAACTTTTATCACACGTGGTTTCACGTTTTACTACTCTACGTTCTTGTCATAATCTTTGAAAAATCTTATTTTCCTCTCATCCTTTACAGTGTTTCGAAAATGTCGTGTTCAATCATTTTCACGATCCGTTCTTTTCAGTAAAACGACTTTAGACATTGCCTTGCTAGCAAAACGTCATAGAATCATTTCTTTGAATCTTTTTCTTCTTTATATTATTATATACAATAGGATTAAATATCCTAGTTAATTATTGTTTTTATTGTGGTTAATATCTATTATTTAAAATATCAAATATTGAATTTAATTAAATGCGTTATTATAAATGTGAGAACACGTATTTCGAAGATAAGCGTTTTTGTTATTGTAGAATTTAGATGCTCTTCATGATCATTTGGGTACTTTGTATCCTGGAATGAGGGCACCATCTTTTCGATGTACAGAAAGACCGGAGGATGGTGCTTTGGTATTGCACTATTATTCGGATCGACCGGGTTTGGAACACATCGTTATTGGAATTGTTAAGGTATATTTATATGTCTATTATTATATACTTATTCTTATTTTTTATACGAAATATTATAGAATGTCATATATTATGTTAGATGAGAGACAATTTTTTTTGTTACGTAATACATCTTTCCATCCGTCTATGAAATATTACATAGATGCATAATGCTATCTCACATTTCGTGAAAATATCTAATCAAATATTCTCAATTTCATAGAAATGCAGAATAACTCTGCTTTTTTTTTTTTCTTTAACCGAGGAAATGTAGATATTTTATAGACGTTGAAGATTTGAACACTCGCCAAAAACATCGTTAAAAATATTACGGAAAATATGTGTATACATGATATAACATGTTTTGAGATGGAGAAAGAGTATATATATAGAATTTTCTATTCCGCAGACCGTGGCGAAAAAGCTTCACGGGACAGATGTGGATATGGAGATCCTAAAGACGAAAAATGAATGTGATCACGTGCAATTCTTGATAACCAATACATCGGGACCTGGTGTCGTTTCCAATTCTATGATCGTTGAACATGAAATGTTGTCTGCTGGTGAGTAAGATAAATTTCTTTCGAACATACATTTCCTATATGCGGAATGCAAAATTTCTATTAAATTAGAAAATCGATTTATCGTTAGAATTAATGGGACTCTGGCTCGCGACTATATAAAACGTGATGGTATGAAATTCGTTCAAATCATCAGCTCGCTTTTATTAAATCGATTCTTTAGACTGAATTTTTTATTATTTTCCTCGCTAAATAAAACATCAAAAAGCTTATGAAATTTTACTTGAATATGCATACATGGATATATATTTCTGTGCACATATTTTCAATATTTTAAAAACAGGCTACATAGACATTTTTTTTTTTCATTGGTTGTCGTAGAACCAAAGGTGAGCCCCACTACGTTTTGCAGAGTATTTCCTTTCCATATTATGTTCGACCGGGATCTCACGATAGTCCAAACAGGCTACACCATCACTCGTATTTTACCACAGGTCTCCAGTGGTAACTGCAAATTAACCGACATACTCTTCGCCGTAAGTAAAAAAATTCATATTTGCATAGAATAATTTTGGCAATTTCGATTATTTTTCTTTTTATTTTTTTTAACAATTTTTTCATTCGTATAATTTTTGCTCGTTATTGAATATTGAATTAAAACATTAATATGAAAATCATATCTCAAAATTGAAATTGTATCGCGTTTGTAGACGGTTTATTTGAAATATTACCTGATGATATTAATTTATAATTAATTTGCTTTCACTAGCCTAATTTCCCAGGCTAATTTTCGAAACTCGATCTTAATTGTTACCAAGTAACGAGGTAACATAATTGCGTCGTGTATTCCTCGTTGCCAAACCTCTCTCTCTCCTATAATTCATCCATATTCATGCTCACACTATCATACATCTTTCGAATTCAGTTTATTGCTAGGGATGTGACACGAGCATTGTGTCCAGTTTAGTTACGTTATTACGTTTACGTATTAGCATCATGTTCGTTACTATATATTGCATATAGACATAAATACGATATAAATACGATATAAATACTAGATATTTTCAATTTTATTTTTATTTTATCTCAATACGATTACTTGTACGAAGAGAATCAAATAGTTCTCATGTGTTCTTTCTTATATTTACTCTTGTCTAGTTTCTATAATAATTTTTGTATCGTAATAAGATACGTTCTATAAGCAAAATATATACTTTAAGATTCAAGTAGAGATGTCAGAAAATTAGTTTAAGTTATCAAATTTTCAATAGATATAGGTACACATAAATATCTATCCACAATTTTATATTGACAATTAGTCTATACAGGACATTTCTACTCCATACGAAAAGAGTTTTGATGGTCAATTATATTCCAGCGAACTGCATTATGAATTCTGGCACATTACTTCCGCACCCGATAAATAAATTCTCGCAAAACAAGGCTGCATAATGTCGTCGACTTCCTAGGTCAGGCCGCATTTGGAATTAACATTTGAAAACATACTGTCACACATAAACACTGTCTACGTGTTGAGGACTAAAAAGGGAATGATGCGCGTTGCATCCTCGGAAGAGTACGCGTATCTACGTCTTAAGGTTAGTAAAATGATCACAATTAATTTATAAAAATCAATATCACTTTAGAATATGATTAATTTTGATAGTAGAAAAAGTACGATTGAAATTTGTTTGATTTAAGATCACATAACTAGTCAAGTATGAATTTGACTCGACTCAACTTGTCTTTTACGAAGTCATTTTCTCGGTATATCCATTACACCAAGTGATTGGATTTTTTTTTCTTTTGTTTTTTCTTCCCTCAAAGGATAATAGTCATTTAAAACACAAATTACATTTGCATTCGCGCAAAAGAAGTTTGATCGTTGAATGGAATACTAGTCATTCAAGAAATTTACATTTCTCGCTTTATTTCGTGACGAAATATTCTCCTTTTTTTGTTAAAGGGTCAAATGTTATACATACCTGAGAGCGATCTGACGATTTTCCTCTCTTATCCAAGTGTCATGAATCTCGACGACCTTACGAGGTAATTGATTGTAAAGAATATACAAATAGTATATTATATAGCTAGATTGTAAATCTTTGTCGATTACATCACAATATCACTATTGCATGATACTCTTCTACTTGTCTGTCAGTTTACTACCTATTTAAGTTCCTTTCAAACTTAACACAGTCTATTTCTACGAAGGAAGAAGCATGATTTAGCAAGTAGTTTTGCTCCCACCCAAGTCGAATTTAACTTTTATCCTACTCAAGAAGCAGGAACTTTCTACTTTCCTAAGGACATTACCTGTGCTCATTCTTCTTTCTCTTCGAATCGCAACTGGTTACGCATACGTATCTAAACACACATACATACATCATATATATAACTTTTATACTTTTTAGAAAGAACTTCTTTTCTATGTCATTTAAAGTAGGAAAGAATAAGAAGGAAAGATGAAAGAATAACAAATTTAAAGTCGTATATTTCTTTATTTAATGAATTTCTTATATAGAAAAATATCAAGTGTGCATCGTCAATCGTATTTTTATTATACATTCGTAAAACTATTTTTATTATTTATAAATAACAAAAAATATCTATAATAAATAACGAGATGATCAAGTAGAAAATTTGAAAGATTAAATAATTATATTAATTTTTGATTGATGGTACGTAGACGTGGTTTATACCTAAGCGATGTACCATTACACGATGCAACGAGGGACCTTGTCTTGATGTCGGAACAATTCGAAGCGGATTATAAGTTGACAAGAAACTTGGAATTACTCACCGATAAGCTGCAACAGACGTATCGCGAACTAGACGGTGAAAAGCAGAAAACCGACAGGTAAGGATTTCTGTTCGGCCGGAACTTCCTGATAAAGGGATCCCCATCGGGATCCTTCCTCTATTTTGCTTGAATGAAAATCTCCTGTAATCAACGCTTATCGCATTGTAAAAAAGTTCTTCCTCGGAAAATTACATTTTTCTTTCTCTACTTCTATTTGCTTTTCTTTCATTTTCCTTATTTTGATGGAAAAAAAATCGTTCAATTTGATTACATTGCAATTTCACGTTATGAAATAAGTGTATATTTCATTTTATTAATTTATTAATATTATATTTTATTTATTTAAATATTATATTATATTTTATTTTAATAATTTCTATAAAAATGAAAATTACATTATTAATAATAGACCATTTGTGATTGATAGAATAAGTTTTTTTAATCTTTTATTATTAAATAAAATATTATTTTTATTATTCTCATTGTGTTTGTGTGTGAAACTTTTGTCGATAAAATATAAAAAAATCTCTTATAATTTATAGGTTACTATACTCCGTATTACCAATTTCTGTGGCGAATGAACTTCGACATTCGAGACCAGTACCCGCAAAGAAATACGATTGCGTAACACTTCTATTTTCGGGAATCGTCGGTTTTGGGGCTTATTGTGCGGCTCATACTGATTCTAGTGGTGCTATGAAGATTGTTAACATGCTCAATCAACTGTATACTGCTTTCGATGTCCTTACGGATCCCAAGAAAAATCCCAACGTTTACAAGGTTCAATAATTTCTTTAATCAGCTACGAGCTATTAACTTGTAGCAATAGCAATTGATTTTTTTTTTCTCCGAGCAATTACAAGTCTTCAATTTGTAATCGAAAATTTAAAATAACGTTGGAAGTTAATCTGATTTTATGATTATTTGTAGAATTATTTTTATAAAAATCAAAATTTTTTTAGATGTAATAAACAAATTGATAATTACGTTAATTTATTTAAAAAATAAAAATTTATAATTCAGGTGGAAACTGTGGGAGATAAATATATGGCTGTGAGCGGATTACCGGAACCGTGTCGTTGTCATGCACGATGTATAGCACGACTTGCACTCGATATGATGGATCTTGCCGCGGATGAGGTACAAATCGATGGAGAACCTGTGGTTGGTATTTCTTTTTTTGTTCTTTCGTACAAAAAAAAAATAACAATAACAATTAAACAATAAAACGTATATTTCTAATTTCCTGGACATATGTAATATAATACGGTATCTCAATATTCGAAAAACTTATTGAAAATGCGAATGATTTGATCTTTATCGAAAAATGATTGCGTATTGTTTGTAATGAAATTGCTCGCAGAAAATCACCATCGGTATACACAGCGGTGAAGTTGTAACTGGTGTAATTGGACATCGTATGCCACGATATTGTTTATTTGGAAATACTGTCAATCTTACAAGTCGAACGGAAACCACTGGAGAACCCGGTAAAATAAACGTTTCGGAGAATGCTTACAGGTAAAAGTATTTTTATTTTCTTTTTTTTTTTTTTATAAATACAATTCATAGAATTTTATTGTTTATTAGCGTGATATCTTATTTCTTATTTTCACATGGTCGTTCAATCATGAAAAAGTCCTTTATTCGTGGTATAAAAGAATTAGATATTATCGTTCTTTGATTTCATAGAAATTTGTTAGAAGTATTAGTAAGATACAATAATCTGTAAGGTTGTCAAAAGATTATTATTCAAACAACATTTCGCTACAATCATGATCATCTCGAAAGATTTGAACTATGTTAGTTGAAAGAATAATTACAGAATAGAGGGTCTATCGTCATAGGTTAAACGATTAGAAATTCATCGTTGGAATGATACGTCGATTCAGCAAAATATTTTTGAAAATTTGTTAAAAAAAAAAAAAAATACTATAAAAATTTCTTGCCAAGTCATTCACCATCATTTCTACGAATATTAAAATATTTTCTCGAAAGATTTTCCGTTTCAAAATATCTTTCTTCATTTGCTTAATCCCGTAGATCTTTTCTCTTCAAAAAGTTGCTTTTTATTTTGAATCAAAATTTGAAATTTGAAGATATACGATTTAAAATTTGAAATTTGATTCGAAGTTTAGCTCGCGCGTTCGAGTTAACGGATTTTATCAGCATTATACGTAGAAGCAAAGTAAAAGGCATCGACTTCCATCGAAAGTTATACGATCGACTTTTAAAATGGTCGTAGATAAATATATACTATATACATACATAGACACATGCCCACACACACACACACACACACAAACGATATATGCGACTATAGCGAACTCGAAGGCAAACGCGGGAGAACGAAACGAGCGATTAAATCGTGCTGGGCGGTTCGCACCGAGGTAAGAGGCAATTATTTTTTCTGTTCTTTTTTTTTTTTTCTTCATTCGTCCGCTTTCTTTTTTTTCTTTCAACTCTCTTTCATCGACACTAGCCACATACCGTTCGCCGTAATGTTCTCAGCCTTGCGTTGGTTGCGTTAATACGTACACAGGTATTTACGTATATTTAGGTACGAATTTTCCAAAAGGAGAAGGTGTGCACGCGTGTCGTAAGGTCGTAATATTACTCGCAATTATCGATCGGTTCGTACTATCGACGAGGGAAAGCCGTTTCCCTTCTCGTTCAGTCGCACAGGGAATTCTCTATGATTTACGAGAACGTCGCTTATGCCAATATTACGGATAGTTTTCTCGTAATTTACACGTTATCCGTTGTGCTTGACGCAAGTTCCTTTAACTTACATCTGTTACCTTTTATCATCGATCAATGACCAATAAACTTGAAAGTTTTTTTATAAGAAATATAACGGACAGTTAATTACGAAAAGTAACGAATTAGCCTAATGGCGCGTTAAAAAATATTTACCAACAAGTTCGAATTCATTTTTGTATCAGAAAATTATTGATACCTAAGTGTTAAGATAATATTCTACCTTTAATTCATCTTAAGTGATCCTTCTTCATATAATTTTCTCGTTTAGGAGAGTATTTTTCTTCAATTTTCTCAATCCGATATACACTTTAGATTCGTTCAAAGTTAGATAAAAACAATTCCGTAATTCGATTAAGACTCTCAGTATTAAATTAATTACGATACTTTAATCGAAAAAATAGTCTGAAGTATTAGGGAGATCAAGAGATTAGAAAGCGCTTTAGTTCATTGTATAGTTTTACCATAATGGCTATAGAGCCGCATGATCGTCTATACTTTTTACAAAGAACTTGTTTTTATCGATCCTAATGAACACCAATCAACCGATAAGGAGAATCTTTTCTACTTCTGGAATCATTTATCCATTTCTTTTCTCGTTCCAAATGAGCCAGCGTCGTAATCAACGACTTCCATAAGATTCATTTCCTTTTTCTTATTTATATGGAAGAACTATGAAATGAATTTCGATCAATCGTACATTATATCCAAATAATTTCTCAAAGTCTGAGGTATTTGAAGACTTTGAATGCCGTGTGGAAGAGCCCAATTTCTAAACAATGTTTCTCTTATATTACAACGACAAAGATGCATTAATTCTGGTGGACACAATCCACTTCTTTCCGGAGGCACAAGATTTCGTTCCACAAGATTAGGGTAATGTTCGTACATGGCTACGCTAAAGACTCCACTTTGAGCAGCTATATGAGTTGGTGTTTTTACATTTGCCGTAGGTATAGTTCTTAGTAATAATTTCAAACATATTACTAAATCTTTCGGAAAGTTTCTTTTTTCTTTATCCAATGGAACATCGAACTCGTTCAATTTAGCAAGGAGAATTTCTATCGGTGAAGGTGCTAGCTTGTCTGATTCTATCGATGCACCATATCGCAACATTATCATAAGTATATCAGGTGCACCATGTTGAATCGCAACTCTGAGTGGAACAACTTGACCATAAGATTCCATTGGAACGTCGATAAAACGAGATTTTATAGTAGATGATGCGCAACGATATTCCAATTTACCTTTAACCGCATGATCCATAAAGTATATCAAAGCATTGATATTTTCCTCCCGATCTTCAAAGTCGCTTTTCCAACCAGATAAGAAATGCGTCACTCTAATACCAAATATAGCTCCCACAAAAATCCTTTCAAATGTCTTCTCGCAATAAAATATGTCATTTAACAAACGAGTAACTATCTCGTTATTGCGTAACTTCCAATCGAAACAAAGTTTGGCTGCTACATAAAGAACATTATGAAATTTTCCTAATAAACAAACTTGACCATTTTCCATCATGGTAATGTTGTGATAACGTAGAGCAGATTCTACTATTCTCTCGCAGACGTCTTGTTTGTCCAATTTCTCCGCTAAATTTAAAAACAGAAAAAACTAAATAAATTACTATAATAATTACAATAATCATTAATATTCAACTTATTAAATAAACATTTTTCTTCCCCTCTATCGTTTAGTTCGAAAAATAAAAGTTTTATTTAATATCTGAAGGCAATAGGTCATTGATGACTCAACAAAAGGTCGAAGTACATGTTAAAATTTTACTATCGTTTTGTATCATTATTTCGTAATCTTTTTACATCTAAAATCGTGAAAAAAAAATATGAACAAAACAAATTTGAAAAATGCAAATAATTGGCAATTGTGTTTGAATAACTTTTCGTAGGGGTAAAAAATTTGATTATATAAACACGTTTGATTAAATCTATTTGGAATATTAAATTTAAGCTTGTCTCTTATCGATTATCGAATTTTCATTCCAGATCGTTCTTAACTCTTCGCTCTATTACTCCTTGACTTGGTAAATCGGTAAAAGCGAAGGTAACAAATGTCTGTCCAATAAACCACCAGTTTCTCCATCGTCGTTTCCAATTTTTTCAATTGCTTTTCAAGCGTATTCACTTTAAAGAAGTTAGAAATATATTACAGAGGTTATATTACCTTCCGCACAACTGTTTATGACATCTGAAAAATATCCGACCAGTTCTCGTCGCTTGTATCGCGATGCGAGACAACTGCGTTCCAACTCGGCAAACAATCTGTCGAAGTAACAGTCAATAAGCACTTCCATCTTTCTAAGATGATTACAATTTTCTCAATAAGCTTGATCACAATAGTTAAAAAAAAAATAAATAAATAAATAAAAGAAGAAAGATTTCAACCAAAAACTGAAAACGTCCGATACTATAAGTTTATAAGTAATGAAACATTCTCATGATTGTCGACCTTTGTATCATCGACTACCATGTTAACTGAACGAAGTACAAGAGGGGAACTAATTCATTTAAACCTTACGTAAAATATTTAAAGGGCTTCACCGGTAAATTCTCTCCTATGCTATATATTTTCCTAACAAATTTTACGTTTTCAATTGCGTGTCATGAAAATTGATTAAAATTAAATCTTTGATTAGAAACAAAATAAAATTCGGAGAATTTATTTAATATTGTTTACTCATATAAATTTTGTTATTATTTTAGGTATTTGTGCATGCCTGAGAATCAAGATCCTCAATTTCTATTAGAATACAGAGGTCCAGTCACTATGAAAGGAAAATCCGAACCAATGAACGTATGGTTCTTGTCTAGAGAAGTGGAACTAAATGCATAATTTGATCACCGAGTAGAATATTTCCAACCATCGTTGAAACATCGTTACAGCAATAAAATGGGAAATCCCTGTAGGATATTAAATTATACATAATATACTTTAACGTGAAATTAAGTTGCACATCTGTGGAAGAGCTCTATGTGATCATTACGTGTGAAAATTGATTAATCTCGTCGCTCTTTTTCATAATATGTATATGTATTTTGTCGCATATTTGCTCGTAGAAATAATAGTTTTACAGTTCCTCAACGTTTTAAATATCCTGACGTTAAATGTTTTAAGTATTTTCTTTATTTGTTAACTATATATTCTATATTCTATATTCTATATATACATATATATGTATACATACATGTATGTATCTTGAACGATAAGAAATATAATCGTCTGAGATTGAAATACTCATTGATGTTGATATTTGACGTACGAATAAGTCGATAATTAATGAAAATCAATTAAAGAACATTTCTTATAAGAAAAAAGTCGTAGAATTTTTTTTAAATTTCATATGATTAAAGTAATCAAGAAGTTTGATCATGTTAAATCGAGAAGAATCGAAATAGACTTAAAATAAAAAATAAACAGGTATCACCAGAAACAACCGCAAGAATGTACATAGTTTTAAGGATGTAACGGAACCTGTTCCGATCTTTTACATGACCTATGCATGTTACAAGGTCAATCGAATGAGTACCGTAAAAGCGTTAATTGTTCTTCTATCGTAACTCTTCCTTTATTAATCCGACGTATGTTCTTCATTTTGCGATAGAAAACAATCTAAACGTATTGTGCGATCGTAAAAGTCTTAAAAAAGACAACTCTAAGATGCTATATCTTAGATAATAACGCGTCTCTACAAGCCAAGACTTTATTGCCAATATTCGTCATGTTCGTTAAAGTGATTCGTATAATCGCACTGTACTATAGCAAAGTGGTATGCAGGCTACAAGTTTCACGTTGTCGAAGAAAAAGTGAACACACTACTCTCGACCGGTTTACCGGGTGAGGCACGCAGAAAATAAGGCCAGATAATAAAGCGCGTACAAAGCCGACCTCTGGATTAGGTGGTTTATGTATACGAGCAACCTGTACCGAACGTAATTATTATGGACAAATGAATGGTTCGTGCTAGATGGATTAGATGGAACAGATGGACGTATGGATAAGTATTTGTTATTGTATCTCAATACTTTAATAAATATAATACTTGACTAATTTTTCTTTTCAAACGAAAATTACAAGTCTTCTGAGAAAATGAACGAATAATATATTATAAATTCGTATTTTTTAAGCTAAGTTGACGAGTAATGTCTTAAAATGATAGTAAGGCAAAACTTTTGTCTAAAGGAATGTATCGTTTATTTATGCAACGATGCAAAAGAATACGACATTTAAAGTTAATCATTCTTGTTATTGCTTGCGCAATAGATATCTTTTTTATTTTCAAATGACATCAATAGTTTTTACGATCCATCCGATACAACTCGTTTTATAAGTTGTTGATCGTTTTTATCAATTACCCATGCAAATATTTGCGATCAAATAGAATAAGTCTCTTTATTTTAATAGTCGATTATTTATTGATTGATTTTATAAGCAAATTTTTTCAATCCTTCTGTTTATAATGTACATTTATAATATTAAAATTAATAACTCTATAATTTAAATCGAGTAAAAAATGAAATGATCGAAGTTACATCAATGCAATTCACTTTATCGAATAACTTACAGCAATACAACAAATAAAATTCAGAAACAATTAATAAATTTTTGATGTAATTGTAGATTGTTTTAAATCGTTAAATATATAGTTAAATAGTAAAATAAATAGAAACTAATTGATAATGAATAAATGCATTCGACGGGTTAACAAGCGAATATGTACATTTATTTTTGCATAGTTAATGAAAAAACGAGTAAGTATCTTTTCGCGCTTTCCACTGATACGAAGTTTTCGATTCATTATAGCCTGGAGGGCATTCCAGCAGTCTTGGTGAAATTTCGGCAGGTGTACGAGATTCCATGTAGTGCCTGTGTTTACGGACGCGCCTATAAGAAGCCGAGGTTCTTCGTGTAAGCAAGTAAGCAAGCAGGTAGATAGGTAGGTAGGTAGGTAGGTAGGTAGAAGGCAGGTATATAGATAGGTAGGCAAACAGACAGGAGAGGTAGGAGGAATTCTCGTACGGTGAACGGTAAGCAGCAGGTATTTAAATGAGAAACCGGATGGTCGATCCGAGCTGGTTCGATAGAGGACGCCACGTCTTTCTCGTCGTTCCGGCTATGTACCTGCTACGAACGTTTCTAAGAGCCGTTCTCAACACAACTCGAAGAGCACCTCAGCCGTTATTCTTCTCTCTTCTTGCCCCACTCCGAAAAACTACTCGACGTTCCATCGGTCCCCTCCTCTCCCCACTCCGTAGAGTCTTAGGAACGCCAGGAGAAACAGCAGCAGCACCTTTCTCGAGTCGCACGGGCCCCGAGAGTAGTCTCGGTCCCCACCCAAGACGGGCGACTGCATGAGTGAGTGTCAGCGGCACTCAGTACAGTTACTGACGGCCCCGCGCTGTGAACCGTTGCCGTTGGTCGTCGTTGTTGTCGTTGTCGTCGTCGTCATCGTCATCATCTCGTCGTCGTCGTTATCGTCGTTTTCATCGTCGTTTTCGTCGTTTTCGTCCTCGCCGTCGTCTTCGTCGTCTTCATTCTCTTCTCCGTCGCGTTCCTCATCGTCTACTACTCGTCGGACTCGAGTCAACTGGCTTTACCATGCGTAGCTCTTGATACACATATGCAGTCCGTAAGTGGAGTGCTCGCTAATCTGTCTTTCTCCTTCTATCTGTCTTTATTTTCTTTTTTTTCCTCTTTCTCTCACTCTCTCCTCCTCCTCTCCACTGCAGGTACAAGCAGCTGTTTTACGATCAAAGTAATTGAAACATCTTCGTTTTTGTCGATAACGCATGGAACTCTTCTTTAAGAGATTTCAATGAAAATGTTTATGTTTCAATGATGAGTTTAACCAATTAAAGTTTGGTTATTTTTTTGAAAAGATAGATTTTTAATATAATTAATAGTTAGACATGTTTTTGATTGATAGCTTCCAATACAAAAAAATATTATTCTATGATTTGCATTGGATCTATTTACTTTAATAATCCACTTCATACAGTATGGTATGTTCGTCAAAGTATTGTCATGTGTTCTGTGACACTATTACGTTACATTAAGAAAGTTACAGTTGTTTCATAGTTAGCTTAGTTAGGTTCCTGAACTTTCAAATTCCACGTTAATTATTTTCACATGCATAATACGTAATTGACATTGTTGAAAGTTTGATGTGTTTATGCGTCATCATTGAAATATGTGTTTTGGACATTGCTAGCAGGTAAGTGATTCACGGAGAAAGGAAAGGTCAATGAGAGAAGGCCGATTTGGTTAGTGTTCCTTCTCGAAAGAATGGCAGAACCGAAGGAGAAAGGGAACTGTGGTCGTGTGCTAATAGATAGAAGAATTAACACGATGTATATTTTAGCAGTGTTAAACTTAGATCGAGATTATAGATTTTATCAACACATTTATAATATTATAGTCAATATTTAAAATATTAAATAACGGTTAGATAGTAAATTTATCTTTGAATATCATTGTTTCGTTTAACTTTGATATAGAAACAGAAAGAAGAAAAGATAGATAGATAGAGAGAGAGAGAGAGAGAGAGAGAGAAAGAGAGAGAGAGAGAGAGTAAGAAAAAGAAAGAGAAAGGAAAATAATAATAAGAAAAAGTGTAAACAAAGCTAGTAGTCAGGAAAAGGTAAATATAAATATCGATCTACAAGAGCAAAGTGCTTTCGAATGTAGGTACGTATGGACGAGGTTAGCACGATGACCGTTCTACCACCACTACCGGCGAAGACTCAGAGTCGAGATGGTAACCAAGTCGCTCGGCAGACTGTGTCAATCCGGGCAGCTTCCCCTCCATCTTCTCCAGCTTTGAGTGCAGGTGCTGGAGCAACGGTATTCGTCGGTTCTCGGGCCGTGGATCCTACGGCGAGTATCAAGAGACGAGTCCCGGAAATACAAACCTCCAACGGCTACGGTAGGCAGACCATCGTCCAGCATCAAGAGCAACAACATCAACATCAATTACAGCAAGCGTCACATATAGTCAAGATCAAGATCAATCCGGATGGGGATAAAAACGGGAAGGTGATATCAGCGGTAAGATTGACCTTGGACGGAAACGAGAAGAATAACGGAGTAACGTGCGAACGTTCGCCCGTAGCGGAGCGCGACGGTGCTGTGTTGGTGAGTGCGACGAATCTTGTGAACGAGAACCTTCGCGAGAGTGGTGTTGTTGGTGAAGGTTGTGTGAGAATTAGTGTCGGGGGTGACACCTCGAGAGATAAGAAAATTAGCTCGTACGAGCAGGATACGGCGAACAATAACGATCAAACCGACAAGAATAAGAATAACAGTAATAATAACAACAACAACAACAACAACAGCAATAATCGTAAAAAGAAGAACGAAGTTATGGTGCAACGGGCGACATCGGAGACACCAAATTCTTCTCCCCTGACCAATCGATCTAGCAGCTGCATTTATTACAATTCTTATCAAAATCCTCTTAACACCATGGTGATGTCCAGTGGACAGTGTTCACCTAGCGATACCTTGGATAGTGGAACTTGTAGCGACTTGGATGGTACACCTCCTCCTTTACCCAAGAAGAAAAATATAAATAAGAATATCGGAGGTGGAACCAGGGTTATATTATCTGTAGGAAAACACGATCTTACCGGTAGTTTGACTAGTAGTGGGGCTGAGTTAGACAGCGATGATAACGAGAGTAACATTAGCTGCGATTCTTTAAACGGTGGTGAGCTTAATGGTAGTATAATTTCACAAAATCCCAATGGGACCAAATCTTCAAACGAAAATGATCAAGAAAGCGTGGAATATCAAGAACGTATACGTCCGAGAAGTAACGATCTTGGAAGAGTAGTCAAGGATACTGAAGAACGAGTGGAAGAGATAGAAGAACTCAATGATGTTAATCAGACTAACTCTGATGATCTATTCAGAAAAGAATCAGCCTCACCTAGCGTTTCTCCATCCCCTTCCAGAACTTCCACTCTGTCAAAAGCTTCTTCAACACCGAGGATTAGGAGTCCAGAGCTTTTCGTTGATCGAAATGGTAGCGGCACTACCTCTCCGGTAGTTCGAGAATGCACCTACGAAGAGAGAAAACAGGAACAGGAAAGAATAGAACAAGAGAATGCTGCTGTTGAGTTCTACGCGAACTACAATCGATCGAGTGGCAACAAGTACGTCTACGATGACGACAGATTCTACAAGTTCCACTTGAACGAGTTAAGAAACGATAACAACGAGGATACAAATAAAGAATCTAAGGAACCTGGAGCTCTCGGAGAGAAAGAAACGGATGAGTGCTTCGCTGGTTACAAGATTCTCGAAAGGGAAGCCATACGCAGTGCCAAGGGAACCGTGCGTGGTGTTAAAAACAGAGTACGTGCTGGAATAGCAACCTTTCTACAGAAACCATCTTCCAAGGTTAGTACTTAATCAATTTTCTTAATCGAAATTTTATCGTAATGTTCATTTTAGTTCTTTTCCGTTGTAATTTCATTTTTAGAAAAATTCACTTTTAATTTAGCAAATTAATTTCATTACAAATTGCGAGGTACGATTTAATAAAGTCCATCATACGTTTCTACCATGTAATAACCAAGCTGTACTAGTCCAATTAATTCGTTGAGAAATTACTTAATTGGAACTTGGCCACAAAATTGGTCATATGATACGAGTAACTACAAATTGGAAATTAAAGTCGTATCTTACTTTTGAGCTTAACTTTTACTTCAGACAGAATGTTTCGATAGTTTTATGGTATACTTTGAAGCAATGTTATTTCGTTTTAAGAAAACATAAATACACGCGTAGAATGCACGAAGGTCTTTTGTACAAATGGAATGTTGAATGGGCGTGAAATGCGGTGTGTTGACCTAGAGAATCAAACATGGAGTTAGTTAATATTCATGGAATTCGATGTTCTATTTTGAAGGTGTAGCAGATTAAGATATAGAAAGTTAAAGAAATATTTGTTTGTCTCTTTTTTTCTTCTTTAAAATATACAATTTTCGGAAACCCTAAAATTCTATACTTAATAAATTTTTTTTATGAACGACTCTCGACAATTCTTTCATTAACACGAAGAATAAACATGCTCCTAATTACGTAATTATTTTGCTCCATGCACTGATTTAAGAGATAAGGTCATGCCACAGGATTTCCGATGTAATAAATTGTATTTTCTAACCGCTTTTAATCACGACAGTTGAACGTGAGAATAGTAAAAGCCGGTCCTAAAAAAAAAAAATAAAATAAAATTTTAATTATCTGTACGACTCAAGATTTAAACATAAATTTTATTATACAACTCAGAAATATATAAATCAGATCAAATATAGAAATCAGATCAATTGTAAAGAGTAGATTCATTTACGTATAAAAATTACAAATACAATGAACGTCCGATGATACCGTACGATCGAATCAGTTTCACCAGACAAACCGCTAGTTAGCTAAAGTGAGCAAGCAACGTGATATCATTGAGATAACTCATAGTACCTTTAGATGAATTCGATACGATTACCCAGTCGCATTTCAATGATGACATTCAAAAGATAACATTTATCTAATTTGTACTATCGACTAAATGATGAAACAAAATTGGTCGTTACTTTTTCAAAGAAAACTTTACAATTTTTTATCGTATTCAAAGTATTTCATTAGATTAAATCGAGTAAAAAAAAAGATCTTTGATAAGAAACCAATTTCAAACGTTAGAACGTAGAATTAGCTTTTGAGGGTTGATATTAATCGGCTCATTGATTATCGATTTAATTATTAGGATGAAATCTTTGGTGGACCATTTGCTTAATTCTTCCATTTTCTAAGTTTTTAGTAAAATTTCAACAGCAAAATATTTCCGGTGTGTTGCTATGCGAACGTTGCTATACGACGTGCGTAAACGACGATCGTACGTACTGTCGATGCGGAACGGATCGACATAACGGTAGATCCGATAAAGCGATATTATGGCAAAGGCACGAGGAAGAAATACACTGCTTGTTCTGACTTCGAGTTTCGTATTTTTTTTTTTCTTCATTTTATTATTTTTGCATCTTCTTTTCCTTACTTTCTTTTTATAATATGATCAAAATGAAAACAGAAATTATCGGTAAGAACTTTCTAATGCGTTAGAGATTGAAAATCTTAATTAGGATGATTAAATAGAACGATTCGAACGTTGAGATCACCGTACAAGGTGATAGTAATTTGTTTACATTTATATTAAGAACTTCACATGATCATAGATACGATAATTACATCATTTTATTTCTCGATAATCGTTCTATTGCTTTTTGTTTGATCACTTTTCAATTGAACAACTATAATGATAATGATATTTGATATTAGACTTTTTTTCATGTAATTATTGTTTAAATATGATTTCAAAACAGATACCTAATGAACTCATTAGCTATTTTTATTTTGAGTCGTTTATCGGAAGCTTCGTTCACTCATTGCTTTTCGTCCTTTCACAAATTTTTTATCGTGATTGTACCTGAAGATTATATAGGTACGAACGTTCTCGCGGCCCGCATCATAAAATTACAGAGCGTGGATTGTTGGTTCGTTCTCTTGCTAGCTAGGCAGATAGGAAATTAGCTTGCAAACGTTCGGTTAAAAATGACGTAGAAAATTTTCTCTAACGTTACAATGTATACAATGAATTGACATGGAATACTATTAATCATAATATAAAATCAAATAAATATATTTGAGGTATAGTAAGTTACATGTAAGAAGTTAAGATACTGAGAGAAATAGAGAAAGATACAAACAACAATTTTTTGGAAATACTATACAAAAATTAGAATTTGTCACTTTCATACAACAAATCAATTAGTTTTACCATAAGATAAAATAAAATATGACGTGCCCTTTATTAATGCAACACACTTGATTCTACTCAAATAACGAATACACACGCAAGTAATACCATTATAAGATCTTATATTATTCTTCTCACAGATGTTATGCGTCTTCCTCGTGTTTTAGTTTGTTCAACTTCCGTGCAGCTGTCCAGAACGGATTATGCAATCTCCGATGCATAAGACTCACCGTGAAAAATTGTAGAAAATCGTTCAAACGGTTCGCACCAACTAATATCGATAATGTTTGAAACATTCGAAAGTCACTTCGATAAATATCGAATCTTTCCTTGCTTTTCCATGAACGAACTCGTTTTCAACAGTGGTTAGTGTGCTAGATAGTTATCGAGGTAAAGTGATTTATTCTTCGAACGAAGAAACATAATAGCCGTAAAAAGCATTCGTTTTACCGATTTGGTACTATCGCAGGTTGATAGTAAATTATGTTAGACGGTTAAGGATCGAAGAAAGAACACGTGTCTCCGGTTAATAAACTTCCCCTTCCATTCATTAGATACCAAGTTATTAAGCACCTCTACACTCCTTGCACATTCTCGCACGACGTTTTACCGAATGATATTATATACGGTTACACAACGATAACAATTAAAACGTTACACTTTTATTGATAGACTACTATGATATTCCGATTACATAGTAGTCTATATATCTATGCATTCTTAATACATCTAAGTCTTACCTTCAGTTTCTATTCGGAAGTTAGATATGTAAATATAAGTATTTATATACATCTTTCATTCTGGAACGTAGGATTGGTAAACCACGAGAATTCAGTCGACCCATTTTATTACACGAGAATTTAATTAAAGAACTTTTGTCGTTTTTGACGACATCACGATCCTCTTGAAATGTTTTTCTTGGCGTTTAATAAACGTCTCGACGACTATGTGAATTAATTAGGACAGCCCTTGTGGCAAAAGCTGTTAAGTCAACAGTTTCAATTCTCGGCTGCAAAATAAATATTTTTTTTTTACGGTGGACAAAGAATACTCGTATAAATGGCGACAATTAATAGCGACCCGATTATCGAATTTTCTGAGATTTTTTTTTAATGCGGAGAAAGAACTTTCGTCGAGTTACGATTTATTGAGAACGATTTTAATGAGAGTCTCGTCCTGAAAATGTATTTTATAATCATTATCTCTCTATATATAGATCTTTATTATTATTATTATATTATTATATTATTAAATATATATTTCAAGCGACCATTTATTCTATATACTATACATTACAATATGTTATATAAATATATATAATTAGTGAGTATTGCTTTTCAAAACAGAGCGCAACGCTTTACAAACATTACTTTTTCAGTTCCCTTTTTACTGTTCAACAAAGTTGCAGTCAATTTTCGAATAAACTATTTCAAACTAATTGTAAGCAGAGAAGAAGTAAGAACGGATATTACGTTTCAGAATCGAGATTAAATGCGGAGTCATAAACGTCTGTATAGTTTACTAGCACCTTTACTTACACCATTATACGCACACGTAAACGAAGTTTAATCACTAATATAAATGCCTATAGCCTGTGCGGTTACCTTGCAACAATTTCTACCTAGCTATATACGGCAAACATTGCAGTTAACGACAGTAAACGTCGAAATAGAAAATTTGATCTAAGAATGAATCTGCAAAGGCACATTTTCATTCTTTCTAGATCGACCCTAATCTTATTTATTGTATTTATGTTTAAATATATACTACAATCACATCTGCTACCGTGTTTTTTATTGATAATTATAGAGAAATTAGTAGACTTTACGATCGGAATATAATGACGAAAGAATTGGTAGCTACCTGTTCTCGCTCTCTCATTAGAGTGAATTTTTAAATCTATGAAGTATGTTAACATTTCTGAAAGGGTGAACGTCCGCTTACGTAGAAACTCGTATTTGTCTCATATATTTAAATAAATAATTTAATTTCTCTAAATTTTATCAAAAGAAACTTTCTACCTTTTATTTCTCAATATCGAATTTGCTCTATTTAATTTGTCGATAATTTTATTATAGACTTTCATTGATCATTGCAACTCTTAAAGATTACCATTGGTATCAATTTCAATGAAAATAAATCGTACGTTCGAACGCTTTCTTTATCGTTATATACCCGAGTTGATGTTGAAAACGTGAAAACTTTAATAACAATGACTACTCGAGCGTTTATATTTTATTACTTTCGATAGAAAATATGAGATAACTATGTAAAGAAAAGAAAAACTTTATAACTATAGTGTGTGTGTGTGTGTCTATTTTTCTGCATCGAGTAGTAGATTCTAAATTTCTTTAAAATAATTTCTTATTCATGAATACGTCTAGTGTAAATTTATGCATGAATTGTATGATCACGATAGTATTATAATTATTGTCTGAGTAAATGGTGAAAAACGAGGTATAATTATATTTTCTTTTGTTTGTTTATTTATTTATTATTCATACGACGTATTGTAATACAATAAACGACGATAGAATTAAAAAGAAATGAATTTTGTTAGAATAGAAATCATTAAATGTAGCTTGAAGATAAA